AGGAACATGGGAACAGATACTGAAAATGACATTCAAATCCTATGTCCCAAGGATGGCAAACATTACACATATCTCCCAAAATCAAGTATCTCTAAAGGCAGGGACCTTCTCAGTTTGATTCACTGCTCTATCTCAGATACCTAAACACTGTCTGCACATAGTAAATAAATAAATCTTTGTTGAATGAAGCATACCATCATCCAGCATAGTTGTATAGAAAGTCTAAAGATACAGGAATTCTGCCATGAGCTATTTGGTGCTAGCTAAATTGTTTAATCTTTCTGTGTTTCAATTCCCTTGTCTCTGAAATATAGCCGTTGGGACAGATCAGTGGCTTTCAAACTATTTTCATCACAGGCCCAGCCTTATGAGATCCTGCTTCACAAACCACTGTCAGGGATGTACTAGAAGAGAGGCCAACCTGAAAGAATAATGGAGCGTCTTTTCTAGTTTTGACTAAACAAGTTGTGCATTTACCTGATTCATATATTGGATGTCAATCACACATACACGTGTGCACAGGTGCACACACACACACACACACACACACACACTACTATATACACGCAGGTCAAGATGATGGATGAGGGCCTATAAATGAGTTCAGAAACCCTGTGATTTAGGATTTCTATGTTTATGACTTCACACATAATTACATGTGAATCGAAATAGGAACAACCTCAATTACAAAAGGCTAGGCAGCCTTCTGAATTTCCTGTGAAACTATGGCATGCTGTCTTCAGTGAATTCAAGCAGAGAAGATGTTAAATTGTATAAGCATTAATAATACTGCTACTGTCTTTTATGTTTATTAAATTACTTCTCATAATTATAGGCTTGAGATCATTACAAATAAGGAGTTACAAAAACATTTAAATCCTTCTTCAAAAAAATAACAACAACAAAAATTCCATACACTGCTTCTGAGAAAATCAAAGTGATTATAAAAGTTGTAGGGAAAAATAAACAGAAAATAATTTTATCAGCAGCATGACAACATTAGGCTCTTCATAGATCTATTCTCCACAAAGAGTGGTAAAAATTATTTATTTTGAAATTGTTGTTGGTGTGCCACTTAGTCGGTTCCGACTCATGTTGTTGTTGTTAGGTACCATCGAGTCAGTACTGACCTTATGCACAGCAGAACAAAACACTGCCCAATCCTGGGCCAACCTCACTACTGTTGCCACGCTTGAGTACATTGATGCTGCCACTTGGCCAATTCATCTCGTTGGGGGTCTTCCTCTTTTTCTCTGACCCTCCACCTTACCAAACATGATATCATTCTCTAGCGAATGGTCCCTCCTGACAATATGTGCGAAGTATGAGAGACGAAGTTTGGCCATCTTGGCCTTCAAGGAACACTCAGGCTGCACTTCTTCCAAAACAGATCTATTGGTCTTCTGGCAGCCCATGGCATTTTCAATATTCTCCTCCAACACCATAACTCAAAAGCATCAATTCGTCTACAGTCTTCCTTATTCACTGTCTAGCTTTCGCATGCATATGAGGTTATTGAAAATACCATGGCTTGGGTCAGGAGCACCTTAGTCCTCATGCTGACATCTTGCTCTTCAACACTTTAAAAAGTTCTTGTGCAGCAGATTTGCCTAATGCAATACATC